GGTAGGTAGTATATAATAATAGTCTTGGAGTAAGAATTAATAAAGGGGAGATATTATATTATAATTTATATTGAACTAGGCCCCGACTATATTATATATATAATAGTATATCTACTTATTCCTTTTATTATATATAGATTATCTTGATTATTAGATGATTTAAGTAATCTAGGAATATGGAATTATTAGGATTATTAGATAATTCTTATAATTATTAATCTCCTATAATTATATAGTTAATTAAGTAGTATATATTTACTATATATAGCTACTTAGCTATTAATATAACTTAGTTATCTTAATTATCTTAACTTGCTATATATTATTATACTTAATTATTACTAGATATAATATTTACTCTATAAGTAATGCCTTAATTACTTGCTAATATAAACTTATAGTTTATTTATTAGTATTCTGCCTTCTACTTACTTTAAATTATATTTATAGTAAATTAGAAGATATAACTATTATATAATTTTATAATCTTTATAAAAGGGTTTTACTTATAGAGCTTTAGTATATTTTTATACTACTTTCTTAGTTTTTAGTTATATTTCTATACTAGTCTAGCTAAGTATATTAGAGACTGCTAGTAAGCTTTTACTATAGATAATCTTTAGATAATTAATAATAATATTTTTACTAGGTATATAATAAATAGAAACTACTTAAGCTTATATAGGTTTTTATTAGAAGCTTATAAAGGGATTTTATAACTGATATTGTTATTATTAATAGCCTATATAGAATATTAGTAATTAAAGATTTAAGATACTATAATAATAATAAAATAATGTAATTAACATATTAATAGATACTTTAAATATAATAAGAGGTGTTTTTTAAAATAGTATAGTAACTAAAATAACTAACTTTACTTTACACCCTCTTTACTAGAAATTCTTAGTATATTTAAATATAAATATAAATCTTTAGATTATACTAGATATAAAGCATACTTAATAAGTATATATTTTAATTTCTAGTAACCTTTTACTTTAGAAAAGATAGCCTAGTATAGCTCTTAATTAGCTATAGGACTATTTCTTAATTACTTATCTTTATACTAACTATAGCTAATAGTATATAAATAGCAGATAATTTATATTTACTATAAATAAGATCTATTTTAATATATAAAGCATTTTTAAAGTACTGCTTTAACTTGGACTGGAATTCTATTTAGAAATAAGTTTTTAATATTAAAGCTCTATATTTAGTAGTATAAATAATATTTCGTGTTATAAACTATATACTATCTTTCTAGCTGGTAGATAGATTCTTAATATATCTTATTAGCTATATTTTAAATAATTATTAAAGAATAAGATAAAATATTAATATAGCAGTCTCTTTAAAATATACTATTATTATTAAGTATCTTAATTAATAGGTTTATATAAAAAATATGATATTATTCTTATTACTAACTATTAGTATATTTCTATACTATTTTTAAATTAAAATCTTTAATTCTCTTTTTATTTAAATACTTACTTAATTTTAACCTTCTATTAATTAAAAATATAAGAGTTTTAATACTACTAATAAAGCTAGAATATCTGATTTTATTTGCTATTTATTTAATTTCTAGATTAATATAAATTAAGAGGTAAAAAATAGGCTTTAATTTAATATAACTTTAGCCTGTATTTATATAGTAGGTAATATAAATAAGAAATAAAGTATATAATAAAATTCTTATTATAATACTTATTTTAGCTAGGCTATAATAAACTAGTTAACTCTTCTTAGTAAAAACAAAAAGCTCTCTTACTAACTTTTTAACTTTTAGAATATCTTTATTACCCTAAAATATAATAGAATTACTAGAGTTAATTTAATTAAGGCCTTAAATAATAGTATCTAGAGAATCTTATTTATATAATAAGTTTATAGTATAGCTTATACTGCTTAATACTTCTCTTCTTATACTTGGAAATATAGCTAATAGTATATTTAAGTTAATATACTTATTTAAGACTGAGTTTATATAAGCTAATTATATACCTAGTAAGAGTTATAAAAAGAAGAGATATAAGATATTATTTGCAGATTTATTCTAGTAGAATAGCTATTTACTAGGATATTCTTTATTAGCTTAATATTAATTACTATTATTATAAGAGATATTATATAAGTAGCTAGTTAAATCTAATAAAATAGAGAAAAGGCTTATTACTTATAGTAGGATATTAAGATAAATTTAGGTATTTTTTTATAATTATAAAGTTAATATTATAAAAGTTAAATTAAGAATTTTAGTAGATTTTAATAATATCTAAATATAATCTAATTATATTTATAAAAATTTAATTTATTTTTTAGCTAATTTATAAGTTTTTTATATTATAATTTTATAAAAATATAAAATAAATTTATTTTATTAATAAAATATAAATTTATTATTTATATTATATTTTTAAATTTAAATTAACATATTTAATAAGTAAGTTAATTAAATAAGTAAGTTAATTAAATAAATAAGTTAATTAAAAATCCTAACTCTTACTTTTTAAATTACTATAAAATTATAATAAAACCTTAAATTAATTAAAACTAATTGCTATACTCTTCTCTAAAACTTTTAATAACAGCCTAATAGATTCTTATATTATAATTAGCCTTTTTATAAGTTCTATAATATCTTTCTCTTAATATTGCCAATTTTATCTAATTATTACTTCTTAATAATTTAGCTGCTACCTATATATTAATATCTCTTTAATCTATCTTATTTCTTCTCTTATCTATAGTTATCTTTTCTTTTTAATATAAATAGCTTCTTTTTATTTTATACTACTTACTAAGAGTTTTATTTGCCTATTAAAGAATTTAATTCTTAAACTTTAATAATACTATTTAATATATTATTATCTTTATTCTCTTAAAAAATAACTTAAGTATCTTAAGAATTAATACTAAAGAGCTACTCTAATATCTTCTTATTTATCTTTTAAGATATTTAGATTGCAAATTAGCTTTAAGTACTATCTTTAGAATCTTTAAAATCTAAGAGTTAGAGAAGTTAACCTTTTTTATAGCTAGTATTAGAGTTTATAGCTATATATTAAGTTTTAATATAATACTTTTTAGATTTAAGAGAATAAGTCTAGCTTTTTTAAAGTCTCTTTTAATATTACTTCTTATTATAGTAGCTTTATAGGTAATATAAAAGATTAGAAAAAACTTAATCTTTAAAATATAAATAATAAAATATCTAATTAATTACTTAATTACTTAATTATAAGCTATTTTAAGTAGCTTAAAATATCTAATATTAAGAGGTTAAAGTAAATAAGATAAATAAGATAGTATATAAAATATAATAATATTATTTTTTTATAATATTTCTTAAAGTTAATAAAGTAATAATTTTTATATTTATTAAAAATTAGAAAATAATAGTAACTAATTAATTAATTCTTTATATACTAATTAAAATATTTAAGCTACTTAAAATCTATTTTATTATTAATCTAGCTATTTTAAGTTATTATAATAACTTAATTATTTAAAAGATTACTTTTTTAATATTAACTAGTAAGATAATATTAACCTATAATTATAATAAATAATTAAATTACCTAGTTTTTTATATTAATTACCTAAATAACTATAACTTATTTTTAATTTTTAAATTATACTAATTTTAAATTTTTATATCTATTTATATTTATAATAATTATTCTACTTATAATAATATCTATTATAAAGCTAATTTTATTAAAGTTATAAATATTAATTAAGTTAATATTATATTTTATAATTATATTCTCTATAAGCTTAAATTAATTACAAATAATTATTAAATCTTTATATTTAGCTCTTTAATAGTTATATTTACAAAAAAAATACATCTTAAGCTCTAGTTATTACTTAATAAAGTTAGAAGCCTAATACTTACCGACAGGTAATATATTGTAGTTAGTAAGCAGTTAGTTAGCTATTTCTTTAATATTATATAATTGCAGGGGAAACCCTTACAAATCTAAGTCAAGAATAAATTAAATAATAATCTATTCTTCTAAATTGGATAGTTTTCTTAAATTAGATATAATATTGCATCGGGAAGAAATACTATTACGTCGGTATTTTAGGATGCAGCAGAAGATTTTATAAATCTTTAAAGTATAAAAGGGAGTTAATTAAGGGTCTTTCTTAAGGGCTTAAAGAGCAAGATTAATATTTGCCTTATTAATTAAGAATAATATAATTTGTAGTTAAGAAAATTAAGTTAAAAGATAAAATTTAGTAGTTAGGGGTAAAAGTACACATTTACTTATATTGCGCACTTGCTTATTATATATATTATACTACTACTATATTAATATTTTAAATATTATAATAGCTAGATTAGAGATTTTTATTTTCTACTGCTTAAATGAATTTAATTTGATATTTTATATTAGCACTTCTAGATATTATAGCCCTTATTTTGCCATTATCAGAGAGTAGATTCTAAGGTATTAGCACGTTCGGCATGATGCCCGTCATGGCTGTTGCAACGGGAATCTGAGTTCCCCGCATGACGGGCCGCGGTCGATGAGCAGTTATATAGAGACAACATACTTACCAATATTACCCTGCCCAGTGGTATTTAGCCCTAGCGACGCGCAATTACGCCTGTAACCTAGTTCGCCGACATAAACTTTCTGAAGATCCACTAAGACGCCAGCAAGTGTCACCCTGGATTGTTTGAGCAGACGTGGAAATTGCGGGGAAGCTGCATGTCCGAGGCGACATCCTCTGTTGGGATTAGTTTGGTATACCACCGGGTTGTTTAAGTTCCGAATCTGCAGGCCACCGGATGTTTTTGTTCCGTAAGCGTGGGTCAGAATGAGCCACTACCAAACGGTTCAGCAACGCCACCTGTGCCTCAGAGCTTAGCTCCATGTCAGCGGGCTAACCTCGGCAGGTCACTTTCTCCAGGACTGAAACTGGGACCTGTCCCAATTTTAGGCCAAACATGCGGGAAGAGTGTGCAGTGCGGGCGAGCGATTGGGCGGATTCTGAGGCAGCAGCCCTAGAGTAGGGCATAACCAGTCAAGTTCCACTATCCCTTTCCCCGCCTGAAGCTACTTCAACCGGAGCATAGGATTTGCATATGCGGTGCGGAATTGTGGAATTACGTTTCATCCGCGCCACGATCAGCCCGTCAACAGCGGGGTAAACAAGATCCCTCTCCTCACTCTGAAGGTTGCCCCAAAAGCGGAATCTACAATAGCGTCCAAGAGTCCTTCGTTCCTATCCCAGCTTATGCTCTCCGGAGAATACAGCAACTTTATTCTCGCTTACCATGGGCAGAATCCACCTTCATAAAGCCGTTGTGTGTCCACAGTCCCCAGTCATCGCGGCCGCCTTGCGGAAGGAATTCCAGGTAGGCGTTCCTGGAACGCGTGACAAGCCCGGGTGTGGAGCCCTAACTTACGGAGAGTTGTAGTTGTTGTTGTTGTTGTATAATTACCGTCGTGAAGACATGAAGATGTCCACAGAATCCCCTATGGGGCAAGACGATGTGCTAGGCTGGTCGTCTACAGATGAAGGGGTATCGACCAATGAGAGGACATGAAATTGCCCTTTCAATAAAAAAGGGAGAGCCCATAGGGATGTAGTATCGCCATCTCTAGACGCTGATCGTCTCTCTGGCGGCAACCGGGTGTTGTTGTAGCATTAGCTGTTAGATTGGATCATGTACAGAGCATCGGATCGGATGGTCACGTGGTGACAGCCAGCCTCTGCCGGGCACAGCCCGAATAGGAAGGCGGTCAGGGAAGCCTATAACCCCTGATCAACGAGGCGATAGCCTAGCAAAAGGACAGACACAGACAATACACACGATCAAGCCATCTGAGTGCCACGCAAGCTTTCCGACATTAGCAGTTATTGTACGTACTTTAGCAGCAGAAAGGGACGGAAACAACACCCAACTCATTAACTTACCCTAGGGGAGATACACAGAGGATCGTCGCACAGGCGTCTTGGCCGGTCAGCCCGAAGCTGCACCAGATTATGCGTATGAGGTCGGGTCAATCTGAGGCTTATATCTCCTGGTAGGGAAGCATCTAATGAGATAGAATATCGGGTCGGTCGCAGGAAAGTTTGCTGGCAAGGCATCAATAGAGCCCGCGGCAGCCCGATATCTGAGGGAGGTTGAAGACAGAGGCAGGACAAGGAACGTAGTGACAGTCAAAATAGACTCAAATAAATCTCTCAAAAATAAAGGCAATCAATTAATAGACTTCCTAGCAGCCTCGAGCCCTTCCGGCCTCTCTGACTTCTAGGAAGAATCTCTGATGAAAAGAAAAAGCGATCCTTCCCTCCCCCGTTGTGGCGGCCCTGACCTCCCCTTTTAACCTCATCCACCCTAGAGACATCCCCGCTAGCAACCAGCTAGCCCAAGCGTCCCTAACCGCCTGTCACAGTACCATTATAGTGTATGCAATATATATGGATGGATTGAATATTATTATTATTATTATGTATTATTATCCATCCATCTGTCTTTCTTTCTCTTTTATTTTGGGTTGGGTGGGTGGTCTCTTGTGGCTTTTTAATAATGTCAACCCCGGATAAACCCAAATAATTAAACTATAGTTAACCATAATTAAACCCAAGTCGCGTCCGCCAGCCAATTATCGCACTCATTCTGGTTCAATCTGATTCAGACACGTCCTGTTCCAGAGGGGCGCGAGCGCGTCGCGCCATTGGTCAATTAGGCTAAACCCAACTTGGGTTTAGACACGTCGAACTCGAACGTGGGCCGGATTACGGATTAGGTCTTTTTTCCTTCTTCAACATCATAAAACTCACCTTTTCTAACAACTCCTATAATTCTTTTGTATTAGCAGCCTATAAGCTTATTTATTTTGCTTCTGTTAGCTCCCCACTCTTCTACTTCTTTTTTTATTCACTCCCTAACTAGAAAAGCACCTCTTTCTTCAACCACACTAATAAAACTACTACCTTAGTATCACAGCCTGGCCGCAACCTGCATCAGGCCCCGGGCGCAGCCCCACTTCTCTCAGCCTCCTAGAACGGAATATAATTTAGCCATCTGTAATCACTCCCAATTGCCAGCAATTACAATTACAGTAATCACTCCATAATCACTTCTAATTACTAGTAATTATAATTACTATATAGGTAATTATATCTAATTATATTAGTATATAGCCATCTAAGAAGTATACCTCTAGTAGGAGTAGCTTCTTAGCTATTAATATAACTTAGTTACCTTAATTACCTTAACTTACTATATATTATTATATTTAACTATTATTAGATATAATATTTACTCTATAAATAATATTTTAATTACTCTATTAATATAAACTTATAATTTATCTATTAATATCCTACCTTTTATCTACTTTAAATTATATCTATAATAGCCTAGAAAATACAATTATTATATATTAATAGCTCTTATTTAGAATAATTACTTATATTAACTATTAAGTAATATCTTATATTATTAAGATATCTAGAATTAACTAAACTCCTACTACTTTAAGTAATATATTTATACTACTAGCTTATATAGCTTTAGTAGGTAATATTAATATAGCTGCTAAAGTTAAGTAGCTATATAACCTAGTTTATACTCTATAGTAGTAAGTATAGAATATATTAATAGCAATTACTAGAAATATTAAGTATAATTTAGAGAAAGTAATAAAATTACTACTACTTAAAAAGTTTAATAAAATATCTAGTAATATTATACTCTTTATTACTAGAATAAAAGAATACTTTTAGTAATATTTATAATAATTAGTATTTATAGAATTATAACTACTATTTATAAGCAATTTAATATTTAGTAATATTAAGAATTAATTTAAGCTTATTCTTAAAAACTTTCTTAATAATAATAAAGCTAATTAAAATTAAGATATAATTAACTTATTTATAAATTAAAAAAACTTTAAAATACCCCTTAAAGATATATTTAAAATAATTAATAAAAAAAGATAGATAGCTAATATATATAATAAGCAAGTATTATACTTTTTCTAACCTTTAAAATTAAAACTTTAATAAAAATATAATAAAGTATTAAATTAATTAAAATTAATTACTACACTTTTTATAAATATCTTAATAATAACCTAATAAATTCTTATATTATAACCAGCCTTTTTATAAATTCTATAATATCTTTTTCTTAATATTACCAACCTCTCTTAACTACTACTTCTTAATAATTTAGCTGCTATCTATATATTAATATCTCTCTAATCTATCTTATTTCTTCTTTTATTTAGAGTTATCTTCCCTTTTTTATATAGATAGATTCTTTTTACTCTATGCTACTTGCTAAGAGTTTTATTTGCCTATTAAAGAATTTAGATCTTAGCTTTTAATAGAGTATTTTAATATATTATTGTCTTTATTTTCTTAGAAAGTAACTTAAGTATCTTAAGAATTGATATTAAAGAGCTACTTTAATATCTTTTTATTTATCTTTTAAGATATTTAAACTAAGAGCTAGTTTTAAGTATAATCTTTAAGATTTTTAAGATTTAAAAGTTAGAGAGATTAATCTTCTTTTTAATTGGTATTAAAGTTTATAGCTATATATTAAGCTTTAATATAATATTTTTTAAATTTAAAAGAATAAATTTAGTTTTTTAAAAATCTCTTTTAATATTACTTTTTATTATAGTAGCTATATAGGTAATATAAAAAGCTAGAAAAAAACTTAATTTTTAAAATATAAATTATAGAGTATTTAATTAATTATTTAATTACTTAATTATAAATTATTTTAAGTAGCTTAAAATATTTAATATTAAGAGGCTAAAGTAAATAAGATAAATAAAATAGTATATAAAGTATAATAATTTAATTCTTTTTATAATATTTCTTAAAGTTAATAAAGTAATAACTTTTATATTTATTAAGAATTAATATATATAATAAGTAAGTATACTAACTAAGTAAGTATATTAAAGCAGTTTTATACCTTAAAACAAGATTTTTAAAAAAATTCTTAACAATTTAAATTAAGCTTAAAATAGCTATAATTTAAAATATAAATTTATTAAGTTAATTATAATAATAGTATACTTTTATATATATTTTTAAAAAAAAATTATAAGGTTATTTAAAAAAGTCTTATTTATACTGTTTTTTTTCTTATTTTTATTTTTAAAAAGCTAAATAATTTTTTAAAAATCTAGAAAAAAATACTATCTTATAACTTTTTTATTTAAATATCTAAATTTAATTCCCTAAAACTTCTAAAATTATATAGCTACTTTTAGAAAATTGAAAATTATAATTTTTAGCTGTATAGTATAAGTAGTATACTTACTTAGTTAGTATACTTACTTATTATCTATATTAGAAGATAATAGCAACTAATTAATTAATTTTTTATATGCTAATTAAAGTACTTAAGCTACTTAAGATCTATCTTATTATTAATTTAGCTATTTTAAGTTATTGTAATAGCTTAATTACTTAGAAGGTTACTTTCTTAATATTAATTAATAAGATAATATTAGCTTATAATTATAATAAATAGCTAGATTGCCCAGCCTTCTATATTAATTACCTAAATAACTATAACTTATTTTTAATTTCCAGGCTATATTAATTTCGGGTTTTTATATCTTTCTATATCTATAATAACTATTTTACTTATAATAAGGCTTATTATAAAGCCAGTCTTATTAAAGTTGTAGATATTAGTAAGGTTAATACTATACTTTATAATTATATTCTCTATAAGCCTAAATTAATTACAAATAATAGTTAGATCTTTATATTTAGCCCTCTAATAGTTATATTTATAAAAAAAATATATTTTAAAGTCTAGTTATTATTTAATAAAGTTAGAAGTCTAGTACGTATTAATAAGTAATATATTACAGTTAGTAAATAGTTAATTGGCTATTTCTTTAATATTATATAGTTATAGGGGAAATTCTTATAAATTTAAATTAAGAATTAAA